ATACATAAATAATAGTTCACAAGTATACATGAAAATAAGGTTTTATTTTCAATTTTATAATCGAAATTATTAAAAATTCTTGTCATTAATTCGGGCATATCAATCAAAATATTTTTGATGACTTGAAAATGAATAATTTAAATTGTTGAAATCGGTGTTTTTTGCAAACAAACAATCTGTGCCAGGGTTTGTTGGTCATTGTGGCGCAGATCTCATGATCCACAAATCAGATTTCAAGGATCAAGTATCACGTAACACGATCAGAAAATTTCAAAAATCGCTTATTTCTCAAAAATCTGCATAAAAACTACCTTTAGTGCTTTAACAAAAGTTTACCTTGAGCAATTTTACTATATAACCACTAATCTCTAATTTTATTCTAAATGCTAACCTTTAACATTAATATGTATATTGGTGACATAGATCAGATCATGTGTTTTAGTTATTTTTTACATATCGAAAAATGCGTATTATTACGTGTTTTGTTTTTGTTAATTAAACTATGAGAATAATATAACAAAATTTTATAAAAAATTTTTGTTAGAACTCAAAAGGTGATTTATAAGCAAAATTTGAGTTATTAAATATTTTTTAAAAAATAAAAGCTGTATCAACTTTTTTTTATATTATATCTAATCTTGATATTACAATAATTTTATTAAAATCAATATGATATTAGCGCTACTAGCATGGTTTAGTAAAATTTATTAAAAAAGTAAATACAAAAGTATCAAAATATAAGTTTTGTAATATAAATAGTATACTATAAACTACCACTACAATATATTATTATTAAAACAACTAAATTTTTTAGTATCAAATTATTTTAGCATTTATATTTGAATGCTGAATGGGATGGCTTAAAAAATAATGTAAACTTTTTACACACTTACATTTACATTGAAAACATCCCAGAATTTTATCAAATACACTAAGATTATCTATGTTCTGTTCAATATCAAGTGATTCATTATGTGTCTCTCGTGCTTCATTTTTTTTAATAGGCGAATTAAAATCTCTATCTTCAAATAAAATCATCGATTTGCTATCTGCCATTGAGTTCTTACTATTATTTACTTCAAAATTTGACTCAATATCTGTTTCACTAGTGAACGCTAAATTGTGATTAGAATTTTTATCTAAAACTTTATCATTCGACTCAGAAATATTATCCGAAACTTTCATTTCATTATAGATTTTATCTAAAATATCATAAATTGATTTTGTTTCTGGACGAACCTTTGGATCGTTATCCCAACTTTTTTGATAAAGTTCAATGTATTTATCTGGTGTTCCATCTATTATATTTTCTCTTTTCCCACCTATTATACTTATGTGATCATTTATA